CCAAGGCCAGGAAGATCGTGAAGGACCTCAGCCATCCCAACAACAGACTGTTCTCTCTGCTGAGGTCAGGAAAGCGATTCCGCTCCCTGAAGACCAACACATCTGTAACCGGCGACCTTCCGGTTACAGATGCGATTCCCAACCCCCTGAGCCACGATATTGCGTCCATATCTCAGCTAATAGTAATAGTGTTTCATGCTCTTTACAGCTCTCCAGATGATCGGTGGAAGTGTAACAGCATTTCAAGGAGGTACGGCCATCTTACCGTGTCATGTCATTGATACCAATGATGACCTGACACAGATTTCCTGGCAGAGGAAGACGAGAGAAAAACCTCGCAATGACAACTTCCTAACTGTCCTACCCAGAGAGGGACCACAATTTGTCAATGGAGGCGATGATCGATTTAAACATATCGGGAATTTTAATGACAAAAATTCATCTTCACCTTGTTTCCCAGTGGAAATCAGAAAACTGAGATACCTCTGAACTTGCCTGGTATATATATATATTTTTTTATTTTATTTAAAATATTCTAAATGTTTGTGTGTGAGACAGAGACAGAGTTACTTTCACCATCCTTCTTGCATGTTGATTTATTTTAGTGCTGCACCTCTCCTAGTGCCTCCTTTCACAAACATCAAGGACAGTCTTCCCACTTTGGGCACAGAAGAGGTTTTATTTGCTACCTGCACGGCTGCTGGATCGAAGCCTCCTGCAGAGGTGAGGTGGCTCACTGATGCTTTGGGAGAGAAAGTGAGGACGACAACAAACTCCACACAGTATGACAACGATACAACTACCACAGTCAGCTCTCAGTTTGGTGTTCCTACGAGAGAGATTAATGGTCACCAGGTCCAGTGTGTCATCAGCGGTGACTCCCTGACTAAAGAAGAAACTCTGCCCTTTACCATATAGGTCTACTGTGAGTATCAGCTGATGATGTAGTTTATTATTTGTCTTCTTTTTTGTCTGTCGATTTTAAATATTTTATTATTTTAATTATTAAATCAAATATGAAAAAGATACACGGACACACTAAGGATTAAAATCAGCAGCAATAGTTAGCAATAAATGTTTAATGAAGAGTTTTCGTTTTAGCCTTCATGTTTAGCATGACAGACATTTGGTAAGGGAGGAAATCTGGATGAAACTATTTCTCTTTAATCCAGGCGGTGATGTGTTCCTTCATTTGCTGACAAGTGACAATACATTATCTGCAATGCTTGTGTGCAATATATACATTATATATTGATACATGAATTAAGTTGTTCAAAACACTTAGTTGTTTGTGGTCTGGGGAATTGTGCTTTTAATAGCTCCTTTTTGTCAAAACCGACTAAATAGAAACATGAGATAAATTTAACAGTTTCAACGGCAAAGAGCATTACTGTTGGAGTTATTTTTGGATTCTTGAAAGCAGCGTGGAATTAGCGATGCCCATTGAGGTCAACATACCCAGAAAACCCAGATAAGCTTTGTTCAGCTGAGCTAAAGTGTCAGTAAGAGTATTTCTTGATATTCAGTCATTTCTAAGAGGAATGCAGTCCAAGGTAATCCAACAATCCAGGGTAAACGTAGTGAAATAGAAGCACCACTCAACTATGATTTGAGTAACACAGCCTATCTTGCAGACTAGAATGTTTCTAATCTGGATCTATTTATTCATTTTTGACCTTCTACTTCCAACATGACTAAACACCACGTCAAGACGTAAAGGCTGTTTCAA